ATTTGTGGGGTCAAACCCTGAACAATGGAAGAGATTCTTGCTCCCTTGAGGCCAGAGGAATCCAGTGGCAGTTGAGGGTTTGAATTGTAAATCAAGCCTGTCATCTCCTTGTCAGCTATGGAAATCGCAATTGACTTTGTGTACTATTAGGGTTTATTTTTAGAATTTTTTTGTTGTTTTCCAAAAAATTTGATGGAAAATAAGGCTCCATGAACCCTTTGCTCTTGTTGAGCAAATAAAGCTGAATTTGGAATTTTGAGAATTTTAGTACTATTTAAAAGCTTTTAAATGATGAGAGTGTCCACCTCAATTATGACTAGTTCTAACCAAAGCTCTGGGATGTGTTTTTCAGACAGCTCTCTGCGGGGGTCATACATGGCACACAGCAAACAGACTAGACTTTAGTGGTTTCCATGTCTATGGCAACATTAATGGGTTAAACTTATAATGAGTTAATACATTTTCATGTGAGATTTTATGAAAACTAGCTTTACCCCACTGGGTTCACCAAAAGCAAGCATCTCTGACTTTTTTCCATGAAGTCCGGGGACTTCAAAGGCCAAAAGTGGGCACAGGTGGAATGGAGGGTCACACACAAGCTCTTGCCTCATTGAAAATTTGGTTTGGGGACCAAAAAAAGTAAAAAAAATTAAAAATAAAATAAAACAAAATAAATCAAAAACCACTGCCACAAGAGTAGGGAACAGGCAAGCTGTTTGGGGTGGTTTATTATGATGATTCAGGATTCATTATCCATTCCACAAATATTTATTGAACGCCTACTATGGAAGCTTTAGGCAGTGGTGCCCAGGGTATGGTGATTGCCAAGTAAAACTTGGTTTATTAAAAAATCCCAGCTAGTAAAATAACTGAATGGGAAATGAGAAGATGAGGCCTGACTTCTGAGAACCAAATGTGGAACAACCTGGTGAAAATCATGTCTGAGTAATTTGCCCCCACTTGATGGATGATAAAAGAATCTATGCAAGGCTTTAGCAGGAGTCTGTTTGAGAAAATAATTACTGCAATATACGCTAGAAAAGAACCATAATAATAGACCATAAAAAATAAACCATGGCTCTTGACTAATACAGCAGACCAGATCATAACTGGGTTGACAAAAGTAATGAAGCCTACAGGGTAGAGTGGCACCATTTAGTGGAACCATTGCCAACGCCTACACAGAAAGGAATTAGCAAGGGAGTGCTGTTTGCAGAGACCAAATGTGGGAACTGCAGAGCATCAAAATAAAGCAGTTGAGGTTTATATACCACTATAGATACACCCACTCACCTCAGACTTAAACTTAATTTATATCAGCAACTGCCATTTTACCTTAACACTTTTATTCCAGTGTTATATTGCTGAACATATCTGGTCCGTATTTATTCCTTAGCATGTACTAAATTGATACAGATTCTTTTATGTTTAAAAAGTAAATAACAAGGGCTGGGGCTGGGGCTGAGGCTCAGTGGTAGAGTGCTTGCCTAGCTGATGTGAGGCACTGGGTTTGATCCTCAGCACCAMATAAAAATAAACAAATAAAACAAAGGCATCCTGTCCATCTAAAACTACAAAACATATAATAAAGAAAAGGAAATAATAAAATGACTGTAGTCACTCAGAATAGTCACCAATAGTGGTGACTAAACTCTATAAACGATTTGAAGACAGACTCTGTATTTATCCAGTGGTACTTTCTGAGGCAGAGTTCTTCTCCTGACCCAGCTCAGTGGATATCAAATTCTATTGATCATAACATCCACATCATGAAGGTGCCATGAGATGAGTCCCAGCTACATGGCTGAGCCTTGTTAGGTCACCAGGCACCAGCATCAGAATATAATTCCAGGGTATTTTCTGTGACTCATAGGCAAACTGTAACTAATAATTAAGATGGGTCACCAATTCTGATGTTAAACAGAGTTACTAGGTGTGAGTATGATAGCCCCAAGCTTATGGGGAAGGTTGGCATTTGGGTAGGTCAAGGTTTGAGATGTGGTTGTATCCTTAGTGGAAAACCGCTTTCTTCTTATCTTTAAGTGCCTGAGCTGGGTCAGCTCTTCCTTCACTTTGGGTCATTAATGAATCTCTTTCAACTTTCAGCAGAACTTCCACTCTTGACCACTTCTGTTGCGTGGATATGAATTTAAGTATAATCATTAATTACTACTTTCAGAGGTAGGCCCTAAGGGTGGGCCTTTAGCACTTTCCCATCTTACCGTCATGTAATCCTAATGTTAGTTGGTGAAAGAGGCTTTCCTTCATTACATTAGCAAATAAAGTGCTCCATGGTATCCAAGAAAGATTTACCTAGGCAAATAAGGGAATCATTTATAATTTTATAAATAGGAAATGTTTGCTCTTTGAGGATTCAGTACCACCTGTTCACAAATGTCTCCCACACCTAAGCGCACACACACTAGATAACCCAGCCCTTTTGCCATAACTTAAAAATGAATTACAAGTTCTCAACCCTGCCGTAAGACTCAAGAATAAGAGACCTGAAGATTCATGTCTTATAAAGGAGGGCATATTGAGGCATGAAGCAGTTAAAGGGTCTGGCGGTGCTCAAGCTGACAGACAGGAAGGTTCCAGGAAAGCATTTTTAAAATTTTGCTAGAAAAACAGATATATTTATTTAGAGTATAACCCAGTTACTCTGTTTATTCTACCTTTGGTCAGAATCATTTTATCAACTTTAAAGTCACTCTTTGAGACTAGAAGGAAGTTGTCAGTGTTGGTCGTGGGGAGGAGGAAGGCTCTGTGATCAGTGATGGCAAGATCAAATGAATAATGAGACATGACAAGTTGATTTCATTGCTTGTGACTTTCCTCACACAAAGACAGGCAGAAAGATCCCAAAAGTATCTGTGGTTTTTCTTCTTTCTTTTTTTTGGATATAAATCAGCAGTGTGACTCTGTAAAGATTTATCATATATGTTATGTAGAACTAGAGCACAAGAGTTGGAAGGGTGCAGATAGTAAAAAATGATAAATCTCTAAGGAGATGGAAATGCTAATTACCCTCATTTGATCACTGCACTTTGTATATGTGCTATTGAATCATCACACTGTACCCCATTCATATACACAATTATTATATGTCATAATTTTTAAATTAAAAAATGACTCCTTTCAATAAGCAACACATATGTATGTATAGAATACAGCAAAAGAACTTATATAATAACGCTCGATACAGGAAATCTATAAAATTATGGATATTACTATCTTAGTCGGCACCCGAAGAGTGAAAACTGCATGGGGGTGAGGAAGCATGGTTTAAAGGGTTTACATTTTTTAAATTTTTAAATATCTTCCTAAAAGTGTTACCTAAGGCAAGTCTTCTCTCTTTGTGTTTTAGAAAAGTAAAAGTATGCACATATTTTCCTAAAGAATACACATCAAACACAGTAGTGTTTGGTGGAAGAAACACTACTGTATATATATATAGATATAAGCGGAGCTCCTTATTCCAAGGGTAAAGGGACCTTGGGAGTCCCTTTGGAATCACTCACAAGTAGCATTTATTTTAATTTTTTATTTAAAAATTATTATTATTAATTATTTGGTACTGGAGATTCAACCCCAGGGACATTTTACCACTGAGTTATATCTCCAGCCCTATTTGTTTTTATTTTAAGATGGGGTCTCACTAAGTTGCTTAGGGCCTCAGCTAAGTCGCTGAGACTGGTCTTGAACTTGTGATCCTCTTGTCTCAGGCTCCTGAGCTGCCGGATTACAGGCATGCACCACTGAGCCTGGCTTTTTTTTGAGACAGGGTCTTTCTAAGTTGCCCAGACTGACCTTGAACTTGTAGTCCCCCTGCCTCAGCTTCATGAATAGCTGGTATTATAAGTATGTACCACTGCAAAAGTAGCATTTTAAAAATTCAAATTGCTTCCTGTGCACAAAGTAAAAGCAATAGGTTCTAATTTAGTAATAGAGCATATACCACTAAACTGCCCATGTAACTTATGTACACTTAACTCTAAAATTGGTTGAAAAAATAGAAAACTACTCAAATTGTGTAACAAATTTGTGTACTACGACCTGTGAATTTTTTTTTTTTTTGAAAATTATGTTGCTTTGTGGATTGTTAACCACAAAAACCATACATATGTWCTGTGCTGCCTTTGGGGAGGATTTGCAAAAGTAATTTTGACTACACTGAATTTTTGCCTAAAGAAAACACTTAGGACTGAAAATTTACCTAAGAAAAGATCATAGTATTGTTTAATGTATTTTGGATTATAAGATTTTTCTCCTTAAAATTACTTCATTCCAGCTTATTTATCTAGATCAGTAAGTCAGCAGATTCAGTCCTGTATTAATTTCAAATCAGCTTATAAAACCAAATTATCAAAATATCTGGGGTGCCTTTGCTGACTTCTATTTACTTCTCTTTCCTTACAATATGGGTAATTTCTGTTGARGCTTCATCAGACACCTGAGCTGAAAGGGAATTTGGGACCATGACTTACCAGCAGAATAATCTGATACACTGATTCCAGGGTTACTTTTGGAACACTGCAGCTTGCTGGGGTGATCACTGGTATCACTTAACATTGTTTAGGGTCGGCCCTCCTCACACTGAGGACCGATTACCAAGGGGGCTGTCATCTCTCCTGCTGTCCTAAGTAGTCTGTCCCAGAAACATTCAACAGGGCTGAGTCAGCCATTAGCCTCAGAATCTTCCTGTGCAGTTGGGTCTTACCTGGTGGTAACACCCACAGGTAGTTTTCCAGAGGCAGGATTTCGGCTGAGAAATCTTGATGGCATTTTTTTTCCATTATGTACTTAGGAAGGCACGGAGCCAAGGAACTCCAGCAAAGCAGGACCTGAGTTCACTCATGTCAGTGTTTGCCTCCTTGAATTTGGGAATCGGGTGCAGAAAAGGGGCTCTGAGCGACTGTCTTTCTCATGAGTCTCAGGCAGAAGCAGGAGATATTCATGAATTTCTGTTTTCCTTCCTCCCTCTCCCTCTGACCCTTCAGATTTATGAGGAATCCAAGATGAATTTGGAGCAGGAGAGGCCGTTTGTCTGCAGTGCCCCAGGCTGCTCCCAGGTGAGTGTGCAGATCCTCAGTGCTCCCTCCGGCTTGCAGCAAATGCACCTGCCCTCCGACAGGAAAGCTCTCACTGGGCGACCATGCCTGCCCTGAGCTTTCCTTCTTTACCAAGATACTGTCAAAGTCTGCYTCTCCTCCTCATCCTCATCATCTTCACCCTCACTATATTCCTCTTTGAATAGTTTGAAATACTCCTCTCTTACCTCTGAAGTACAGTGGTGTTGAACATTTCTGCCCATTACATCCCCCTAGAGGTGAACCCGATGCATCCTGCCCATTAGATATGAAGGGCTGTCATTTCAGAAAGGGAGGAGCCACTTGAATACTATCTGGGCCTCTGGATGACTAGTGAAATGCCTTACTATCATAGCTTAAATTCTGTTTTGTTTTATTACCCCCTTTGAGTCAAAGAAACCCTCTATGACTTTACTTTTTAGCACCTATGGTTTCTCTATGTATCTAAATCTCAAGAAGGAAAGACTCCCGCTGTACTGGGTGGAATCTCTCGGCTTCTGAGGACTCTCATCAAGTAGAAGTGGTGTGGGGATCCGATGAGATGCTACCTGGGGATTATCATAGGACCTGTATACAATAAGCTCTCAGTGAACACCCTGTCTCCTTATCACGACTGCCGCTAGGATTATTATACTGCAACCTGCCTTTTTGAAAGAAATTAGAAATGTCCATCACCTGAGGTCAGAGTTTTCCATTTCTCTTTGGAACTTGGTAGTGACTTTTCCTACTTTTGACCCTTTGCATAGCTCCCAGTTCTAATCATTTCCATTTGTGGGAAATGATCACACCTGCTTGCTTTCCTGCTGAGATCTTCATTTTATGGGATATCACACAAGTTTAGAACTCAAAGCACAGGCATCTTCCTAATGTGGTAATTAGTCACACCCTTTCCCTAAACTGGACCCAAGCTGCTCTCCCTGCCTATCTGGTTGGTGGGGTTGGCAGTACCGGGCAGAGCAGTGCCTAGGAGAGCTGTTGAGGACCAACATTATTTATGTCCCCAGGGAATATGTGGAGATTTTGGGGAGGCTTCCAGAGGGAAGAAGCCAGAGAAACACAAAGATGTTTCCGGTGTTATGAGTTGGTGTTGTCAGCTGTGAACTGAGCGACCAGAGTCCCGTGCTCAGGTCCTGGAAGTTTCACCAGGGGATTTTGTGCCAACGTTTATTTCCGAAGTGTAAATAAGGAAAGCAGTAGAGAAAATTATTTTGAAGCAAACTGGTTTTGAAGGTCATTCTGAAGTAGGAAGCACTAGGAAAACACAGATAGGTTGATAAGTAACTGGAGAAAATCCTACTAGACCAGGACTCTCCATGGTGAGTACTAAATATCATCTTACTGACTAGGTAAAAACTTGATCCCCTAACTGAGGTGAAACTGATTCTCAGCATTTTTTTTTTTCAAACCAGAAATCTTGATAGCCCAAGAGAATCAAATAATCTGAGCAGTTTCCTTTGCTTTGGGTGTGACAATGAGACATTAAGCTTTATTCAAGTTACTCAGCACATTTTTGTGGAGTTTAGGAGGTGCCAGGCACTCTGGGTGCCCTGGGGAAACAGCACTGCACAAGACAGTGTCCCTACCCTCACAGAGCTTCTAATCTACACATCAAATCTATAACCACATGATCTGATGACTCTATTTGCAGTTTTGAATAAAGACCAGGGGCCACGAAGTATAAAGCAGGGGAACTGACTTTACCTGGGAAGGTAAATGGGAAGCTCTTTTAGAGAAAGGTATTTAATAGAAGGGGATCAACAGAAACCTAGCAAAGGCAAAAAAGAGAATTGGGGGCAAGCTGGGATTCCTAGTAACGTCTAGGATTATGCATGACCACCTGATAATTAGACAAGTCAGGGAGAATAGAGCTACACATAAGTCCTTGAAGTATATGGCAGAATTTACCAAGCTTGGCACTGTTAACATTTAGGGGTGAATAATTTTTTGATGTGGGGCTGTGCATCCCTGACCTGTATCCACCAGATCCCTGTTCACACTCCACCATTGTAACAACCCCAGACATTGAGACATTTTTGCCAGATGCCCCTTGGGGGCAGGGGCAAAGCTGCCCCTGCTTGAGAGTGACTGCGTATGGTTTGCATTTTGGGTTTAGCCTTGCTTTTTAAATTTTTTTTCTTTTTATCTTTCTGGCTTTAAACTCCCTTCTTTGAATGGTCTACCTACTTCTAATCGCTGCTGTCCCATTATTTTATGAATTACTGTATGCTACCTTTCCTCCTTTTGGGAGTCAGGCAGGGTATAAATAAATCAATGCCACAGATGTGTGGTCACTGGTGTCAGATGCTGCTAGAGCAGGGATAGTTAGAGAACCTGGCCGGGCTGTTGCATTTGGCAGACAGGTTGCCCAGTGCCACCGACCCGGGAGAAGAGAAAGGCGGAGGCCAGATGGAAGGATTAATGAGAGAGTGGGCGGTGAGGAAGCGGAGGTGGCAAACATAGAGGACTCTTTCAGGAGCACTAGGCAGTGACGGGAAGCAGTGTGATATAATGGTAGCCTGAGAGGGAGGTAGCTTTTTTAAAAGTAAAGGATAGCCAAGCTGAATTTAGTCAAGGGCAAGAAACCAGTGAGAGAGGAGGAGGGGACATGCTGATTCCCCAGGTCAGGGCCCAGAGGCACCCAAGCGGGAATGGGCATGCTCCTTCCTTTGAGCCAGGTGGAGATGAAGGAGAATCTATGTAGTCACATGCAAATCCTGGGAGGTGACAATAAAGGTTGAACTGAGTCCGTTTTAAAATTTAATTTTGGGGAGGAGTTTCTGGGGATAGAACCCAGGTCAATGAATATGCGAGGCAAGCTCTAACATGGATCCACACCCCCAGCCCTTACATAGGCTCTGTGAATGACCTTGAGCATCCTGGTGAAGGAGCAGGTCGTTTCCTTGAGCACAATGAGTAGACTGAGTAAAAACTTGGACAAATGTGGGAAATAAGGATTTTACAGTTTCTTGATTTTAGATGACAATTCCAAGCCTCCTTCCCACCTTGATACATCTAAGACTCAATGTCCCCGTTTACTGTGGAAGCATTTCTTTTTTCTTGACCAGCTCTCGTAACAAGATGCCCATCTTTCAATTGAGGAGGACTTAGAGTTAAGAAAATATCATTGTTACCCAGCAGTTCCAAGTGTCTCCTGGTAGGATATTAGGAACTCCCAGTCAGGCTAATCTTTCTCATCAGGACATTTACTTTAGGCCCATTCATGGCCTGGGAATCTGCAGGGAGGGAGTGCAGGCTGGGATTGGAAAAGGAGAAAGTGAATTATCAGGATTTGATTGTGGGGGAGGTGGAAGGATTTTTCTCCCCTTTTCTCCTTGGAAAGAAATTTGGCTTTATTAGGCATGGCCTGCGATACCTGTGAGATCTTCTAAGTTACAAATCCTTAGACGGGAGGAGAGACACATTTCTCTTGTTCTTTGAAATCTCATAGTCCATTGTTATTTTCACTCTCCCTTTTCCCTCTGCCTTAACCTCGTTTTGAGTAACTCTCAGCTCTGCATCTGACGCAGACTGTACATTTTGATTATTTACAATTTGCTGCTATTTTCCTACCTGATTTTTAAAAATTACAGTTGTCTTATAGTGTCTCCTTTTGAAAGTAATGATAGTTAATATGAGCCAGTATGGGGATTATTAAGAAGAAGTAATCTAACATCCTAACATTAGGCTATTATTTTACAGAAAAAAAATGTCTGGTCAATATGAAATGAGGGATATGAGCATGTTGATTATATATGTATGTATATCATGAAAATTATGTTTTTGACAGGAAGACAAAAAAATTTAACCCCTGTCTCTAAGTCACATGTGGTAGTGTTGCATATTGAGTGCAATCATATATGATGTTATAAAGACAAGAGAAGAGATGAAACAGAGGCAAAGAACTATCATGTCACATAAGACAAACTTCTGTCTATTCAGAAATTGGCATAATTGCCATGCATTTCCAATTCCATGCTCTCCAACTTTTACTTATAATGAAAAGTAAATAATTGTTGTTTACGCAAAGAACTACTTTTAGAATATTTCGTGGCATTCAGTCCAGGGAATTCCCTTGTTCTCATGAATACAAATCTATAGTCTTTTTCTACTGCAGTATACCAAGGTAATTGAAATGTATATTGCCTATCTTGTGGAACTAGGAAGCTCTGAATGGATTTTTTAAAAAATTGTCAAAAAATGGAAATGTTTAGCAGAATTTATTGTCTTTTCTTGTATTTTTATTTGACTTTGATAAAGCAGATACTCTGTTAAGTTTAATTATTACAACATACCAATCTAAGTCAGAATAGGCTAGGATCTGTTACAATAACAAAATCACCCCAAAACTTCTATGGCTTAAAACAACAACAAAAAAAACTTATTTCTATTATAGATTGGCAGGAAGTGCTTCAAAATTCTTTAGAATTCAGAAATATTTTTCATAACCCTTCAGAGATTTAGGATTTTTGAGTGACTACTATTTCCAAGTATTACAAGTCACCATGATACACCATTAAAAAGGTGAGGGGAATAACAGAGGGTCTTACACTATTAATTCCATGCTTGCCTCTGAGTGACAGGTCACTTTCATTCATGACTAAATGTGCAGAGCTAGTCACATGACTCCATCCAACAGAATAGAGCCAGAAAATCTAGTCCCACCTCATGACCAGAAATCAGATAGCCAAAAATATTTGGAAGCAGCATTTTTTGAGAGGGTTAAATCACAGTTTTGGGGTTTTTTTTAGTTATACATGATAGTAGAGTATATTTTGACGTAGTTATATAAACATGGAGTATATCTTATCCTAATTAGGATCCCAGTCTTGTGTATGTACATGATGTGGTTATTCACTGTTGGGAGCAGCATTTTTGATAATGATAATATCATTTCCTGAAAATTAAAAATAAATAAGCATTTACTACACAGAGAATAGAATACTAAAAATAAGCTGTCATGTTACTATAAAATTGTATGTCTACTTATAAAAAACAGATAATGGATGGATCAGGGCTTCATAAACAGAAACATACTATACAGATGTCATGGTGTACATTTGTAGTATATATGTCAAGCATGGCATATAATTCTTTCCCAAAGTCTGACATGAATCAAAATTCTTTTCTATGTCATGCATTTCTCCTACTTTGGGTTAATCTATAGATAAATGTCTAGCATACTTGTCATGCTTTAGACTTAATTTTACACTATTATGTAAAACAGTAACCACTACAGAAAAGTTCCATATGGTTTTGCAAAATTCCAGTTCCTCACAGATCTAAATCCAGTTTCTTATTTTGGATATGGTCTTCTTATGTTTATAAGAAGAAATGGGAAATTTTTAATTTTGTCATGCTGCCATTAGTAGTTAATTTTTTTGTGAACATAATAAACATTAATTTAAATGCTATTTCTTTTTAAAAAGAAAGCTGCCAGCATCAGGCAGATATTAGGGCATGGCACATTTTTGAAATATATGTATATATGATCATGTAATGATTATATATATATATATATATATAAAATTATACATATATATAATTTTAATTTACCTCTTTCTGTTTTATCCTTAAGTAAAACACAAAATTTTAAAGCCTACCCTCAGATGAAACCTTCTAGTTCCTAAAGAAAAATATAATGTACTAATTAGTCAGTGCAGTTGGTTAGATCCAGGGAATAGAAGTAGAGGCCTTTTAAAAAGTTCCTAGGGAAGGTGTGGGGACTCAGATAATGATTGATAGCAAAGATCTCTTATTCATTATCAGCACTCAGCCAGATTCTGCAATATAGTTAACCCTTTGGTAAACTAATGGAAATCATGATGCATATATTTGAGTATACATGAAAGAAATATCTCAGCACATTTGCTTGCATAGAATAGTTTGTAACTTTACTCATGCTTTCATACTTTTTTCAGAACTGATTGTTTTGCTTTTGCAAGTCACATTCACAATGTTAAATAAATCTTTTTCTCTCTGATGACAAATATGTGCTACAAAGCTGACTATCTCCCCTTTCCATCTTTTTTTTTTCTATTTGTGCCGCAGCGCTTCCCAACAGAGGACCATCTGATGATTCATAGGCACAAGCATGAGATGACTTTGAAGTTTCCCTCAATAAAAACAGACAATATGTTATCAGGTAAGGGGCCATCAGCAAAGAAGATTTGGATGGTCAGATCAGTTCCATACAAGAATTTTATTCTCCTTTGGGTGGGCTGATTACCCCTGGCCCATTCTGTACTTTGAAAATATACATGTCTAAGGTAGAGCAGAAATGCAACCAGCTAATGTAGTGTTCACTCAAATAATTGAAGAGCTGAGGCTTCTCATTTTCTGGAATGTGAAATACTTATTACTGTGAAACTTAGTTCCATGTAAGTTTTTCTTTTTCCTTTTTTTTTTTTTTTTTTTAAATCACATACCTCTAATCATGAAACCAGTATTAATTAGACTTTGGTAGTGCACATAGTACTGTTCTGAGTGCCTTGGGAGACGCACAGATTGATATATTTCCTACCCTCAAGGATATCATGATAGAGCATGCATGTGAAAACTTAGCTAAAATGAAGGATCATACACAATATATCAGATGAGTATTGTAAGAGAAAAACATTGTGCAGCTTTAGTGGAAGGAGCTCTTTTTAGGCTGAGGTGGTCAGTGAAGCCTTCCATATTGGGAGATTAAGTGAGATAATGCATGGAAACACAGCAAGTGCTCAGCAAATGTGAGCAGAAATAAATAATGCAAATAATTACTTTAGGCCATTCCTTCCCATTTTGAGTGGCAGGGCCACTCAGGAATAGCAGTGAGGAACCTGAACTCTAGCCTGGATTCTGTCTCATTTGGCTATATGATCTTGAGCAAGTAGTTGAACTTTTCTGGGCCTTGGTTTCTTTCCCCCCTAAAATGGGAACAATTGCATCTGCCCAGGCTTACTGTGAAAATCCAACCGAAAAATTCCAGAGAGAATGTTTCATAAACCCTGGCAAGGGAGTCACATAATCTCCTGTGACCCTTCTCAGGATAGAAATATGTTATCTGAACCCTGGACTCGCTGGCATCATGAAAGATATAACACATCTATGAACATGTTTTAATTGATATCAGCAGAGAAACCAACTGCTCTGGCAGACCTGGCTCATATATTTAGTGTTTCTATGGCACTTTCACTTTCCAAGTATTTTATCATCTCAGTTATTTGTAAATCTTCGGAGAGTCGTCAGACAGGTTATTACCAGGAAGCACTCAAGGAGTGGAGCAGCTTTTCTGGGCTCACTGAACAGGGCAGGGTTGAGGGTCCTTGATTCCTGATGTGAACTCTGTGATGGTGCCAGTTTAGACACAAGTTCAGATATTCCCCGTGTCAGAGCTGTCCACACAGTTTCCAAACCTGACGGTGATAGTACAGATGTGCTGTGATTTGGAAAACCATAGAGCTTCCCTGCCCCTCTCCTCTCTCTCCTCCTCCTCTCTCAGCCCCTCTATGTTTTGTTTTGAGTCAGTTGGTTCTTGGGAGACAGCTTCAACTTTCCCTACCAAGGGGCAGAAACTCCAATTTATAAGAGTTATAATAGCCTAGAGAGGGTTAGGGAACATGGCCTGGCCTTTAGCTTTCACCATTTATGATGTTCTATGGAGTCACACAGAGTACTCATGTACATATGCAGGTATCAAGGCTGTAGACTGCGCAGTTCCCAATTTTTAAAACGTTAAGTTCTTCCTGTATTTTCCCCATATTGAATCCCTGAAATAGACTGCCTGATGGTAGAGGATTTGGAGGTGAATATCAGGGAGTGGCAGGTGTGTAGGGAGATCTCTGCTTTAGTGGTAGGAACCAGTGTAGTGCCTTTCAGGAAGGCTGCTAACTGGTCCTATAAGGAACGCCACCTGATGATCCAAGAAAAAGCAGCCAAAGATATGTGAACAATGGTATGAAGCATTCTTCTATATATTGCCTGAAATAGGAAATAGGGTTTTGATTAATCTCTTTCAGCCTTTCAATATTTTTTTTTTTTACCATATTCTTATTAGTTTGTGTGGCTGTTGCCGCCAATCATGGGCAGTGTCAGGTGGAAAATCATGGGAAGAAAAGTAACTTTAATTTTCACAATGTCAAATTTAAAATGAGAAAATGAAGGAAGAAGTAAACATGAGGAAAAAACCAGTAAGAATAATGTAGTGGTTTATTTTCTTTTGCTTTCTCAAGTTTGCTGTTGGAGTGGTATGAGACCATTTCATACTCCAAATGAAATCGAGTACTAAATTTGAAAACTTGCTGCTCACTTTGCATGTTCGTCATCTCATAAGGATTTTCTTACTAGAAGGGAATGCAAAAATATTCAGTTCAGCTCCATTTCCTTACACTTGGAGAACTGAAGTCTACTCTGTGTAATATACTGGTGGTGTCCACACTGAGTTGTAATAGACTGTCTACTTGAGTGTTTTACTTTGCTATTTTTTCCCTAGGAAATACTTCAGTGTTTACTTATCTCAAACTTCATTTTTCATAATGATAGTTTTAACATACTAGATTGTCATTGTAAATTTGACTGTTGGGTTTATTTGTCTGTATCTATTTTGAATTTTAATTTATTAAAAACTTTGGAATCTACTTTTATTAAAAACACATTCATTAAAATGTATTTACTTCAAGCCCTGTCTTGTGAATAGATGAGTGAAAACAAATGGTTTTATATAGCTTAAAATGTAAAATCAAGAATAAAAATCAAACCTCAAATGAACAGCACAGGAAAACTTTATAAAGACCCTCTTGGGCCATATTTTTCCCAAGCAATACTCAATTACATAAAATTGCATTTCAGATGAATTGGTAAAATGTAGTAGGCATATTTATGGCTACTACATTTGCCATTTTGTTGATCTTCATCTTGAACATCACTTTAACTTTCATTAGTTACAAGTGTAACAGTTAGTGATGGTGTTGAAATGTCATAGATATAGCATTCAAGAATAAGTTTCCAAGGCTGGATGTGTAGCTCAATGGTAGAGCATTTGCCTAGCATGCATGAGGCTCTGAATTAATTCCTAGCACTGCCCCCGCTCAAAAGAAAGAAGAAGAAAGCAAAGAGAAGTTTCCAAAGATCTGAAATACTTTCATAGATTTATTGGAAGACCCATTTTACCATTTTATTTATTCCAAGTAGAGTTTGCTACTCAAAAATGACTATTACTGATCTTTATCAGTAATATTTATCAGTAATAATTATCACAGGGTAGGATAGTAAAAGCAGAAGCCATGATATTTTATCGAAATGAGTCTGTTCTTCTGGATAGACAATAAACAAACTTCTTAATCTAAAGGGACAGAGTAAGGACACAAATGGGGATGGTGGTGTTGAGTTCAGGAGGCAAAGGCTTGGACAACCCTTCCTACCTTGGTCCTATCCTTTTGAATTGGTCTGCATGATACCGTGCCAGCATCCTGATATGATGGTTCTGTATCCTTCCCTTCAACTGTAGTTTAAAAACTTCTGATGAGAGGAAATGTCATGGTCAGGGAAGTTGGGCTCTTGAGGGTTTTAAGTGCCAAATTTGAAATAGGACTCTGAAGAGGACAATGTACTTCCTCACATAAGTTGCAAAATTACGAGCTATTACGTGACAGATCCATCAATTTGAAAACCATCGTCAAATTTTGGTATAGAAATAAAGATGATGGTGTTTGAGTTTATTTTAATGGTATAATAATTAGGTACACAGGAATTCCCAAATTTTGACCCACTGCTACTTTTTTTTTTTTTTAAACAGGATCATTAGGTTTTATACAGGAAAACAAAAAAACAGAATGAGAATCTGTTCTTGGGTTAGGTACAGAATTTGTACCTAAACAAGCAAATTATATTCCAAATGAAAATGCAAATTGTAAAAAAAAAAAAAAAAAGATTGAAGCACACAGCCCCTCTCTCTTATTTCTTGCCATACGTTTTGGGACCAGTGAGTTCCATCTTTCCTGTGGAGAGAGTGAGATGGGCATCCCTCAGGGTAGAGATATACATGTGTGTGTGTGTGTGTGTGTGTGTGTGTGTGTGTGTGTGTGTGTGAGACTTAGAAGGTGATTGATTTCACTGCATGGGGAAAAAGATAAAGTTCAAAAGTGCTGAGGACTTTTCCCAAAAGGTAAAACCCAATCAACATCTCAGGTGGGAAGCCTAAGAGACGCATTGGACAAGGCCTTTAAATGCCTGTTAATGTTGCAGGAAATGGATCTGTCCTTGGGAGGGAAGTTGGGGCAGGCACCAGCCCAGGAGCAGAGAGAGGAGCTGAAGTTGCGCCTCTATCATGTCTACATACTATTTAACAAACATTTATTGAGAGCCCACAGAGGTCATCATGGGTGTACTGCACTGGACAAGATACCTAAGATCCCTCTTATCATGGAACACACAGTAGTAGAATGTGGAAGAAGAGAGACAATAAACAACCACAAGACAACCCAGATAAGTGAATAAGGAGATGTTACTAGTGACACGTGCCATGAAGATAAAGCTTGACAATGTGACAGCAAGTGGCCAGCAGGCCACCTCAAATCTGGTGATCAGGAAAATCTCTCTGCATTTGTGCAAAGATCTGATGTGCAGCACTAAAATCAGGGTTCCTTTCTCCCTGACTTCTGCATATAGTGAGATTGGATGGAGTAGCCCTGCAAGACCAGATGTGGTTCAGCTGGCTGTCTCTTAAGCTGGCATACCCAGGAGAGTCCAAAGACTGTTTCTGCCTACCATTCTCCTTCCCAATTTCTCAGCACTTACCATCTGAAGCAAGTGATGATACCATCCTTCAGAGCCCAACTCTGTCCCCAGGCTAGGTCTAGAATCAGGGCCCATCTCTAGTTCCAGGCTCTAAAGCTAATTCTCACCATGGAGAAAGCGAGAATATGATTTAATGAAGTGGAGCATTTGTCTCCAAGACGCTAGTCATGATCACCCCAACAGCCCAAATCCATTGGTCATGGCCCTTTGCTACAAACCCTATTAATAATTCATGGGCATTTTAAGGGAGGAACCAGAGGGAAGGTGCCTATGTAACTCCAAATTCTTTTTAGAATGAACTGGGATATTTTTTTAAAAAGGGATTGAGGAAATAAATAATAAATATTTCTCTCTCTCTCTCTGTCTCTC